GTTTACGTGTCAGCTTGCCCGTGAACGTGTCACATTTGCTTCGTTGCAGCCTGCAATGTCATCTCACACTCACCAGAAGGCACTTTCACCATGGTCAGCCCACAGCAGCACAGGAACTGCAGCTTCTCCATCGTCTACCCGGTAGAGGTCGACATCTCGGAATTTTCATCCTTCGGACTCCTCGGCAGCTTCCCAAAGGTGAGGCAACACGTACTGAACAGCAGCCAGCCCCTAAAACGTTGGCTCCTCCCTCCAGTGGCCCACATCGACTTGCGACTCGGAGGACATGCTCCAGCTGTTGGGGGGAAATGGTCTCGACACATCCAAGATGTTCCCCCTCACGGAGCTCTGCAGCTCCTCTACTGGGCCCAGTGAGTACTGGACATTTATGTCTGCTGAATTCTATTCTTTGTATATTCGACATAGTTTTCTTGACATCGTTATTCAACACAGCTTTTGTTCTGTCATCTTCCCTGCAGGACACATGAAAGTGGGCTGCGAAAACACGGTGGTGCGCATGGTGTCCAGCGGCCGCAATGTCAACAGGGTGTCCTTCAGCTACCGCCTGCTGGACAGCCAAGAGCTGCAGAGGCTGCGAGTCAACAACGTGGAGGATTTCTGCATGGCCAACTGATCTCTCTCATTGATATGTCTGAAAGACCAAACATGAATGGGAATATCAATGAAGACAAAGTGTGTGTTTTATATATTTTGTTCTTCCCCCTTTCCCCCAACATCCGTGCTGTTTGTTGCATAAAGTCTTGACATTCTAGTGATGAACGGTGCTAAAGTGAATTTATTGTCAGAGTAATGTGCCGTTAATAAATACAACTGATTGGCATTTGTATACAAATACTTTTTTGGAATAAAATTACACTGCATGGCAAAGCAATTATTCATCTTGTTTCTTGTTGAGAGAACACATCAATGTTTCCACTTTACATATTCAATGAAGCTATGGCAACCGTAGTCATGACGATCAGCCACAACAAAAGCTGCACTCAAAATGAGGCTCCAAAAAAACAACTTTTGACAATAATTTATTATTTGTCTGTGGCACAGTATTTTTTTTTCTATTCGTCGGCAGCATATTCAAACATCTATGTTTTGAGCTGTTGTGAAAGCGCAATATAAATAAAGAT